GCTCTCACTCGCCGCAGCTCATCGCGTCCCACCCGCTCCGGTCCCGCTGCCGGCGGCTCCGCTCGGTCAATGGAGCCGTGGGAGCGCCGGCAGCCGGGACACCCCGCGGCCGCAGCGACAGCCAATCAGCGCCGGAGACACGCCCCCGAGCGGCCAATAGGGGCTCGGGGCTGCCCCGCCCCGACGGGCTGAGAACGCGCCCCCGGGTCTCCCCCGGCCCCGCCGAGCGCGACCACCCGCCGGCCCGGTTGCGACCACCGGGGCCGGGCTCTGCCCCCCACGCTGTGCCGCAAAGGAGCCCTCTCGGGCGAGGCCGATTAACGAGGCCAGAGCCCGAGCCGGCCCCGCGACCCGGGTACCGGCGACCATCCTTCTCTCTGCCGGGCGACGCTCCTGGCTGCGGCCTTCTCCTCGGGAGCTCAGCTCCCTGCTACGGAGCTCAGCTGTGAAGCGGGCTGACGGGAGGAGCAGCACAGAAAAAGCTCCGAATGCCAGAAAAAGGCGAGTGCTTTTTACAAGACCGGCGTTTACTGAACCATCAACGCCTGGCGGAGCTACAGGAAGAAGAGGAGCATGTTCCTCTCACATTGTCTTTAGTGGTGGGAGGCTTGAACTCTTTTTATACATCCCTTTTCAGGTCCAAAACCAGCTACTTCCAAGGTGCCTAAGCACAAAGAAAATCCCAGACTCCAGGCTCATCCTCTACCAAAAGTGAATCTAACTCGTAAGTTTCTGACCCCAGTTCCTTGCCCTGAGAAAGAGATTCACTCGCACCTGAGCAGGCAAGAGACATTATGGTGTCCCTGACACCTATATTCAACATCACCTTCTGTTCAGCTCACATGTGACTCCTTGACAGAAAAGACTGTCACCTAAATCAGATCACCCCTGCCCTGTAGTACCTGCTAATCTCTCCAGAGCTGTCTAGCCATTTATGTTAAGCAGCCCTGATTGCTCCTGCTGACAGTACAGATTTTCATCAGCTCATGACACAACCTACCTATCAAGTATTTATACACAGCTTTCCCTCGCCCCTGTGTCTGAACGTCTCCAGAACAATGCAAGACACCTCTCACAGGATGGCCAGGAGAAGTGAGCTTGAACCCAGTGCTTGCTGGCAAAAACCTGCAGTTCAGCCCCAGCCTCAGTCAGCAAAAACAGCAGAAAAAGAAGCAAGAGAGTCAAAGCAGCACCATCCCCTAGAAGGACGTGTGGCACTCGTGTCTCTGCTGGCCAGACACTCCTGCCTGGGGAGGAGCAGGACAGAGAACTTTGTGGGTGACCAGGGGCCAGACGCACTTGCCTGGCTGGGCCTGCAGGAGCTGGAGGTGTCTGCTGGTGGCCAGTGCAGCTGGGTACCCGCAGCATCGGAGCAGATCTGTCTGCTGGACCTAGACCAGACATCCCGCTGTCAGCACGCAGTCGGCACGCTGCGGCCAAAGCCCTGGCTGGTGACGACGCTCAGGCCCGAGCTGGAAGCAGCGCTCCCCGTTTCTGAGGCCAGCGTTGGAGACAGGCAGCATCACATCCTTCTGCAGAGGTCAGCTGGAGGATCAGCTACCCTGCAAGGTTTAACTGTGGCTGCAACTGCCCAAGTTACAAACCCAAGCAACATCTCCTGAGGTCATGACAGCAAACTGCCCCCCCCCCCGCCCCGTTTTGAACTAAGGGCTCTTGCTCAAGGTCTCGCAAGTTGTCTGCTTTTGAACCTCTGAATACTTGAAATTTTTCCCCGCAGAACTTCCAGTTGTTTCCCCACAGTGTAGGAAAGTTTGCATAGGTAGCTGTTGCTACTAAGGAATTATCATCCTCACTGGATCACATGTAATTTATTTGAGATCATTTTCCTGTAGATACCCAGGAGAAAATAAATAGAACCACCTTCGGATTACTTTTCCTAGACAGGACTTTCAGAGGAACAACTCCCTTGATACCAGCTCTAACACAGATATTTCTCGATTCTGGGAAAGCTACTGTCACCCAGAAGCACAGCAGCCTGCAGCCAGGGTTAACCAGGGCAGTGGAAGAGAAAGCCTGCAGAAAAATCCCTCAACAGGTTTTCCACATTTCACACATGACTGGGGTCTAATGGAAGACAGTCCCCCCGTGCACTGTTGTGATGGGTGGCATACTAGATGTATGCTTACAAGGACAGATGCCCTCCAGCACATACAATGCCGGCGATGAGTCCATTTTCAGCAGTTGCTTTCAGAGAACCATCCTTTCATCACATCCTCTCGTGCTGACAGTGCGTTTCCCCCCCACTTCAGTGACTTGGGCAACTGACACAGACATGAAAGTCTTCCTAGCAATGAAACCACTTGCCCCACCTTTCTCCTGCACTCAGGAGAGCCGATCCGGCTCAGGCTGGGAAATCACAGCTCACCATCAGTGCCCTCCTTGCGACCTCTTTCACCATCCACCTACTTTGCATTTAGAGCTAATCACTCAGTAAACCCAAGCTATCTCCACCTTGGAGGGAGCAGAGAACAGGGGATGTATTTGAACTCAAGCTTTACAGCAGACCCCATGGAAGCTGGAAAAACTGTTCCCACTCTGCACATTCTCTTCCAGAGGCACAAATTAAGGTGGATGGACTGCTGGGTCTTCTCCTCCATCTATAAGTACAAGCCAAAGGCATCACTTCCTTGACAAAGCTGCAGACACTTCCCCTTCTCCCAACACAGACAGAACAGGGGCACAGTGTTAGCAGTAAGGCTGTACCCAGTCCCAAAAGTGTCCCGGTATTTAGTCATGGAAGGACACAAAAAGCAGAGAGCAGCATTTTCAGGTATGCCAAAACTGAATCTCACTATGAGCCTGACTGATTTCAGCCTACTAGCCATCTTCAAAAATCCTGCACAGCCTGTGATGAACATTGTCTTGTGCCGGCTGTCAGACTCCAGAGAGGAGCTGTACTGAAGGCAGTCTGGAAACAATCAGATCCAGTTAAGATTCAGCCGTTGGAAGAGGACAGGTGCCCCTTATGCCCACATTGCTGCAGCCACGTGATATGCAGCGGTAAGGCAAGTACTAGCTGTCTGGACAATTCTTCAGTCAAACTTAATAGGGCCAAGGAGAAAGTCTTCCAGACGTGCCACCTAGACATTCTCCAAGCAGTCCTTCTATAGCACGTTTCTGCAGCAGCGGATTAACGATGACTTTGGCTGGGAGCTTCAGTCACCTCTGTGAAGCAGCCTGGGCTGTAGATAAAGGCAGGGCACAATCCACAGCCCTTCCTGGGGGGCTGTGCAGAGGTATGTGCTACTGATTCCAAAGGATTAAACTCAGCCTCCTCTTAACATCTATACTTAAAAGAATCTTCTTTATCTAAACGGATTCATTACGAACACTATAAACCACACATGCAAAGCCACTCACACTACAAGATGCACTGTGTGACCCTCTGCCTGGCAGAGGAAGGGGAGTGTCAGAGGAGCACCGGCTGCTCCTCACACAGACCGCCGTGCAGGGAAGACCCTGCCCTGAAGGAACACGAGCCACTGTCAGTCCACGCACCTGACAGGCACTGAGCTGAGGTAGCATGGGACACCCTGGCTTCTCCACCAACTAGAAGAGGCATGCACAGGTCACCAGGGCCAGAGGAGCTTTTCCTTTGCGTGACCAGCACAAAGGAAACTATTTGAAGGCAGCCTTGAGCTTGAGGATTAGCTGTAATAGTGGTGCAATGTCCCTGAAGTCAGCCAGTCCAAAGAAGCAGGTTGGAAAAGGCCGGAAAAGCAGCAAGGCCTCTCGCCCCCCTCGCTGGACTTGATCTACATGCAGAATTCCAAGCGATGAAATAGCAGCACTTAAACCCTCTGTGCAGGACCTGCTCTGGCGTTGGCTTTACGCAAAGTCTGCACATGCAGCAGAACTGCAGGTTGAAATACAAATTTTACATGGGCAGCATAAAGACCCCGTGGCTGTGGCACAAACACCCTGAGCATGAACCAGTTGCTCTGGTTAAGAGGAGGTTTGTGACAAACCTGCAAATGCTGTCTGACATTTCCAAAGCTTTGATTGTGATTGCAGCATTCACAATCTGATCAGAGAAAACACAGCTGCCCATGGCTCCTGGAAGCACTCACTCCTTGGCCCAGGGCAAGAAATGCCATTATCAGCACAAGGTCCAGGTAGCAATTCCAAATCCAGGCCTACTCTGCAGGCAAACCTCAGACACCTGTAATGGCAAGGGTGGGTATTTTACAAGGATAGGGCTATTATTGCCAAAATGCCAGGAAGAAGCAGCATAGCTCCTCTCTGGCCATATTAGAAAGGGCTGTACTGACACACCTGTATCCACACCGGGACACAGGCTGCATAGGCAAAACAAAGCTTGTGCAGCCTTCCTTCCCCAAAGACAGGGCCCTTCCGAGGAAGGGCAGACTTGCTGTTTGGTCCGCATAACAATGCTTCAAGGGAGAAACTCCAGGCTAGTAGAAACCCTGAATTCCTAAGCTCATGGCCATCTCCCAGCTGATAGTCAGAAAGACAAAGGGAACAAACTTCGTAAACTCTTCACCCTCCCTTCCCACTGCAGGTAAGGAGCTGGTGCCAAGCACCACACACAGGACCCTATGGCTCTCCCCTGCTTGCTCATGACATTTCCTTTGCTCTGAATTGCAGTTTCCATCCTTAATGTGTTCCAAACCCCTCCTGCTCTTTCTGTAAGAATTAAGATTTGCTCTGCCTTCAAATATCTTTATGTGTGGTGGTTTTTTGCTCAATGGACCATATGCCAAATATGGTGCAGAAGTATCCCCCTGATTCACCTCAGAGCAACAGGCCACTTGCGTAACATCCAGGGTGGTACAGACCCTGTGATGAGATCAAAGCTGACAGGGGAAGGTGGAGTTCACATAGCTCGTTGCCACACCATTCGGTCAGTCAGTTTCCACCCAACAGCCTAATTTAAAGAATAGTGCCAAACTGGAACAGGAATGAACACACAGCTGCAGGTTTAAAAGAGAGCACCCTACTATTTGCAAAGGCTGTATTCGCCTTAAAGGATAGATGCGCTCCGTGACACAGACTGCCCTCGCTCAGGAGCACCAGAGAAAGGAGTCTGGCCATATTCCAGGCATGTCATAACCAATTAGGAGTTTGATGAGCTGTAGGCGCAACAAGCCCCTCGGCATCAGCAGAGGGAAAGACGTCCTGCTGGTTTATTTGCGTGCTTTCAAGGGTACCCCTTCCGACGCTGCTGCTGCTGCCCTGCCCAGCCACGCCACGGCCGAAGGGGACACGGCCCGCCCTCCCCGCCCGCACACACCCCCCCCCACGGCCCGCTCCGCCCCGGCGCCACCTGCCGGCCACGGGAGGGCCGGGGTGGGGGGGGGCCGCAGCGGCTGCAGCAGCCGCCCCCCGGCGTCACGGCCGTCCTGGCCCTGCACTTACCATTCGCCCCTCAGATGAGCTGCACTGCTCCCGAGGCCACCAGCGGGGCAATGGTCTTGTACCGGATCAGATGCTGCGAGCCCTCCTCCAGGTCGATGGTGTACTCTCTGCCAGAGATGGATGTCAAGTTAAACGGCCTCCCCTGCCTTGCTGTAACCCGCGACGCTTTTGGGAAACAAGCTTATTTTCGTGCACCGCACAGGGAAGTGCCCACCTACCTCTGCTCATCTGTCTCTGGCTCGACCAGGATGTTCTCCTGCCGCTCCAACACCCTCAGGAACACAAAGGAGTCCAGGTTGGGCTTCGGAACTGCAAACAACGGATTCGGAGCACAAGCTTAGCTCTTGCTTATGTTCCTCTGCAGGACACCAAGCTAACAGAGGGGTGGGAGGGACAGCAAACTCATGGCCAGTAAAGGGAATGCTAGACACTTCTGATCAGATGTAGTGTGCGCTGCCTCAATGTAAGACAAGACTCGATGGCAGGGGCGAGCACGATCCTCTGACAGCAGCATCAAGGCACACACCACACAGCAGAGCAGCGTTATGACACTGTTATCATGTCATCTTTGCTTCTGCTGAGCGCCAGCTGGAGGACTAGCCCATAACATTTCATGCTCCTCAGAGCTTTCCCCACATCCCTCCTGCTGCAATTTTCAGATTGCCGTGGAGTCTGGATGTACTCACCTGATTTTAGGAGAGACACTTTCTGCAGGTTGGGCGGCATGTGTTTTAGGGCCACGTTTCTCAGATAAGTCTCTGTGTTTGCCATGTACCTGAAACAAAACATTGGAGCATTTACTGGTTTAATCAAATACAAATTTGTGGGGAGAGTACTGACTCAAAACGCCAGCAAGTGACACCTCCTGGTTCCACAGGCATGGCCAGAGACAAGCCCAATGGCTTCCCTGGTAACTGCCTCAGAGTTACCAGAGTTATTTTATTTCAGCTCTTTTCTTGTCCATAAGGAAACCTCCTGGTAAAACCCGAGTTCTATAACCTATAAAAAGGGAGGGAGATGCATCCAAAACATACTTACTCTTTAGCAAAAGCAAACTCCTCTGGTGACAGAATGGAAGGGTCCCCTTCGGCTCGAGACTTCTCCTTCTCCAGGACATGGGGGAAAAACTTCTCTATCTGATATTGAAACACAATGCTAAAGACTGAAACAGACTTTTCCCAGTAGTTCAGTGGCTACTACCCCCACTCCCCAGAGGCTTCCCCTGCAAGCAGCAGTCTACTGCTGTATGGGTGTATGCAGCAGCCGCAGGCCTGCGCAAATACCTGCTCCTGAATTAACAGCAATATGGCCAACTGGGGTCTCCAAGCTGCAAAACCGTATGTGTACATGGCAGGACCCAGGCAGAACATGCAAGCATTCAATTGTGCCATCCTGGGCTTAGATGAGGTAAGAAAACACTCATAGCAATGCTGTGATCCTCCTTCAAAACAACTGAAAAGTGTGTCCAAGGAATGAATTCCTTTGGGTTGGACTTCAGAGGACACAGAGCATGGGCTTTAACTAAGTGCCTTGCTGAAGCAGGAGGCCTTGTATGGGTAAAAATCACTCCTGAAGTCACCCTTTTTCACCCCCTGGGCAGCAGAAGCAAGTATTACCTTTACAAGCCTACACCGCAAGTAGCTGCTGAGCACGTAACGGATCCTTTCAATCTCCATGCGGTGAATGCTGACCTTCAAGTCTCCTCTCTTTGCCCGTTTCAGGTTTGCCTCCTGCAAGGAAATACAATGAAAAATTAAATGATTGAAATGTCAAACAGAGAGGAAGACAGGTTTTGTACATAGGGCCCAGAAAAAACAGACTGTGACTGCTTTTGGCGACACCAAGCATGCTATTTCCTTGTATCTCCCAGTTCCCCCTCCAAGACAAGCTCAAAAAAGGTACTCACAACAGCCTTATCTCAGGGACAGAGGAGCAGATAATCCTGGCAATCCCAGAGAGACCCATGCATGTATCTGCCAGGCCAGGCAACCAGGGCCTGCCTTTACCACCACCTTAGCCCAGCAGAACCTACCATATGGTCCAGCTGCTCCACAACACACTCGATGATCTCAGGTTTGCTCTCCAGTAGCTCTGGAGCAAACTTCTCGTTCAGCCAGGCCTGAAAGAAGACACACTGTAAGCAGAAGCGAGGACTGCACCTCCGATAGGCCCCAGTCCCCAGAGAGGCCAGAAACTCAGCCCTCCCCATCTCCTCCGGCGAGCCTAGGGACCCGGCCCCCAACCACCCCACATCTGTCCTACAGAGCCCAGCGTTCGGTCACCCACCCCCCGCCCCCATATCTCCCCAGGGAGCTCAGGGGCCCGGCCCTCAGCCGCTCTCCCCAGCCCACACTACCTGCTCCAGGCTGCGGATGAGCTGTGCCGGGGTGAGCACCAGTTCCTCGCTGCCGCCATCCGAATCCCCCTCCGTCCCCTCACCGCTCGCTGCCGCCATCTCGACACAGCCTCCCGCCAACAGCTACGGCCCTCCGCGCATGCGCGACCCGCCCCACCGCGCAGGCGCTTCTCCCTGCCCAAGCGAGCGCCACTGCGCAGGCGCCCGGCGCCGCAGCTGTGACCTCCACTGCGCATGCGCCCCACCTCAAGAAAATGGCGGGGGCGCTAAGGTGCAGGGAAGCACCACAGCTGCGTGCGGTCAGGAGCCGTGGAAAGCTGCTGAAAAACAAAGCTATATTAACAGCGGACAAAAAGGTTGCGGCTTAGGAACTGATCTTGAAGCAATGCTGGCTCTGTTTGTTCGCAGCCAAGACCCTACTACCATAGGAGTAAAAATCTCACCGCTAGTGCTACTGTATGCAAAGCAGTGCTATCAAGTATGACACAGACACAGTTTAAGAAAAAATTTACTAATCCATTAGTACTTCTGCCAATATTGCAACAGATGTGAAAGGCAAACACTGTTACAGTTTAGAAAAAACAAGTTTTATACAATTCAAATATTAAACAAATCTCAAAAAAAAAAATCAGTGGCTGAGTAATAAGCCTGGAATTTCAGATCCAGTATTAGCACCTACAGTACCACCAAAAGCCAAAACACTCGATCTGTTCTGCATAAGTCTTCTCCTTTTCTAAATTCCTGGAATTCCTTCTACAGTTGGACAATGACGCTCAGAACCTAAGCTGGGACATCCTTGCTTTGATAAGGGAAAAGGATGTAAGAGAAAAATATTAAGCCAGCTTGGTTTGTAGGAACTTTACTTTTGCAGGTATTGCCGAGGAATGTTGATGCATGGGGGATACTAAATAATGCACAGTTCTACTTTTCAATAGGTGTGCCAGCAGACAGAATTAAGAAACCATCTTACACAACATCTAACAGTTTGTCAAATCAATGTTTTCCTATAAATTATATATAATAAATCCATAAAGAAACAGTTTTACACTTCACATATTAATCAGAGTAGGGTAGGAATTGTTATGTTTATTGGTTCAGCATCCATTTCATTGTACTTACTGTTTTATGAATGAATAGACCCCCCTCTTCTGGTGAGCATTGACAGATGCAGTAACAGCACAGATACAGCAGTAGAAAAAACACCAGTATTAAAGTCTGGCTGTTCCTCCCCCTTCTAGGAACAACCAAAACATTAAAACAAGTAACACTTTGCCTTCTGGTTTTCCACGAGAATCAGCACAGGAAACACAAAACGCTCGTTGCCTTGAGTCACTTCTTGCCAGGCAGAGGCACTGTGTATCCCCTCACTCCAATACTGAACTGGAGGGAAGGCCTTGTTTCTGGAAAATTCCCCACTCTGACTTGCAGCTTTCCAAAGCCCGATTGATGGACAGAAGGTTTAAGAACTAGGGAGGAACAGCACTGCACTTACATGACTAAAACTAGACTTCCGTTGCGCTAAGTGCCCTGTTTCTTTCAGAAGTGTATGTAGCTCTACCACTTCTGCTTTTTCTTGAAAAAAACTAAAAAGTGATCTCATTGCTTAAAAGTTTGCCACAAAATGGATGCTGACCAGCTAGGTCACCCCATGTGGAGCAGTTTTAGGAAGTTAGTCCTTGTAGTAGATGGCACTGTGGATCTGGCAGCAGAGAAAGGAATGATGCTCTAAAGTAGGAGGTAGGGGATACAGCAAGTCCACCGTTGAGCTATCTGCTGGAAAAGAAATTTCATATCATTAGAAACTATTACTAGATAAGACCAACAAAAGCCTACACAAGCCTTTACATAGTTGTATTTTGTTATCTTAAGAGGTATGTAGCAGGAAAGGTAGGGTTACCACATGCTATGGCGAGAGTAGCAGGAACAGAAACCAACACTCCGGATTTCATTTGTTTAACAGGAAATAAAGACCTTTAGCTCTTTGTTTCTTTCTGCGTAACAGGCATAAATATTTCCAATCTCTTTTCTGTACACATTGCCAACAACCTAGACTTAGACTACCATCCCAGGATCTGCAGAGTACCTAAGACAAAGGAGCCAGTCCAAACTTTATCTTTTCAAAAGCAAAGATTCATGAAAGTTCAATAGGTATTTTGGAAACCTAGGGATAGTAATTTTGCAGTTCTATACTGCATGCGATTAGCATGATCCTTTATTTTAGCCTCTTTCAAGTACCCTGAGCACTCTTTTCACTTTGTGACTCTGCCACACAGTATCATGAAAACTAAGTGCGTTTCAGCAACTTTTTCAAGTTAAAGCTACCAATAAGCTAGAGGTTGCTGGCCACTGTTAACTGAAAGCATCATGAGTAAAGATACCAGAGTGAGAGCTGGAACAGCATCCAGCTGAAAAACTGCAATAAAAAGTTTTTGTATGCTGGAATACACTTGGAGACAGAGTCTTGCAAAGATTTTTCCCCTTAAAACTATTGGGTAGGATAAGGTCTCAAATACAGTAGCAGATCTTAGAGTTCCTCTGAATTTACACAGATGTTGCAGAGACCATTAGAAGTCCTAAGATACACCACCTATTCCTAGCCAGAGTCATATCCTCTACCACAATACAGTCCACGTTTTGTAGAGCCCACGTAGGCTGTGTTCATGAACAGATCATCCAGGACAGTCTGCAGGCTCCAAATGACTAGGAGGAGACAAATACCTGATAAAAGCTTCAGTTCCAGATCAGGCTTACTTGGGTAACTCATACTGCTTTCAAAACAGATGTTTACTGACCACAAATACTTGCAATTCATCAAACTATCCAGAACTTCATGACACAAGTCTTTCTTCATTTTAGAAATTTCAGTTGTTTGAACACTGACAGAACTAGCTTTTATGTAATTGCTCAAAACCCACATCACCTAGGAAAACATCCTGCAAGAACTGCTGTGAAATGAGTCATGACAAATGGCTTGTGCCAAATATATGCAGATGCAGTTGGTAAAACACAAACTTATTCCAACAGCAGAACACAAGCACCATGCAATACAACAGATTCCCAAGTGCTAATAACCAGATAAAGAATGATATTTTGAGACAGAATTGGCATCTACAAGTGATGCCAAGTTACAAGCCAGAGTTGTTTAGAAAGAGGTATGCATCAGCAAGAATCTTCACTGGTTTGCTTTACCAGAACTTCTTGTCATGGTTTGCTCCAGCTTGTAGTAATTAATCTGGTTTATATGCACTGTAAATATGGGTCAATCATAAGCAGACTACCAAAAGAGAAATCCTAGAGATAGGTAGCAGAGGCAGGTTAGAAAAAGCACTGAAAGAATTTAGTAATACTACCAAGTATAGTAACTTGCATTTTCCCTTTAGGCTGTGTAAGGTTTGACTCTTAGAATATGGCATATTCTAAGATTCAGGACAGCAGATAAGATATTCTATATTTATACAGTATCTTATCAAGTGTTTCTGAGCAGAAGAGGTTTGGAAGAATCCCACCACTTGGCACATGAAACCAAAATGTCACCCCAGGCAACAGTAGTTCACTGTTCAGTCCCTTCTGGAACAGAAAAGCTGCCATTCAACAGTATATAGAAGTGAATCTTCTACATACTTAGAACCAAGAAGGTAAAATCAATTAACTTTGATTTGTTTAGGATTCTGGGGCTAATAATATTGACTTCTAGGCAAAATACAAGGGGATCCTTAACATGCTGTTGTTATGACCTTGATCTCACATGTGCTCAAAACACAGAGGCTTTTAAAATAGACCCTGGTTTGAGGTACCACAGAAAACATTAGAAAGGAAAAGCTGTATCATTGACAGCAGTATAGGAAGAGCAGGTGCTAGTATAGCACCATCAACGATATTTCTTGAATATTTTTCTCATGCTATTAGTACGAAAACTGGAAATCCAAAATAAGCATTTAAATAGTGACCTATTTTGAAGCCTAGATTTAAGGGTTAGTCTTAAGTTTGTCTGCTTGGAACCTTATGACAGAAAGAGTTCAAAAGAATAAAAAAAGATTCTTTTATCTACAGAATAGAAAACAATTTTGGACATAATAGAGCACAAGTAAGTTTATGTGTATTTACACAATCAAGACCTGAATCTCTCTAAAGGTAAATCTGGTATCACCTGATCTGTATTAACACTCAGTAGCATAATGCCAAATATTGATATTTCTTCTTATTCAGAAAAGCTAGCCCACACAAGATTTATGTGAACAGCCTTTAATTACATACAGTGGTGGGATAAATATTCTGTCTCAGTATGACAGAATCTACCCCTCTGAGCATAAAAAACAGGTTGGGATTGATCTAGGATAAGATTAACATGTACCTGAGACTCCACAGTTTTATCTTCCACTGGTCATACCTCTGTCTTCATAAATGGTAATTTCAATCTGCACAGAAAAGCTGTTAGGGAAACATACTATAAAGAGATTATGAAAACATAACAAAAAAAAAGTGGAAAAATGTTAAGATATTAGAACCTTTGATCCTTCTGCTTCATACCTGCTCTTTCAAGGCCAGTTTCAGAGCTACAAAGCAAATGGAACAGTACACATAAGAGATGCCCCGTCAGGTCAGATCAGTGGCCTATCCAGCCCAGGACTGTTCTGACAACAAGACCACAAGATGCTGTGTACGGAGGGTTTGTGAGCCTTGCCACCTTCTGTTAAATTTCAGGAAAGGTTATGCACTAGACAAAAGTTAACACTTCCATAGTTCAGCTACTAAGTCACTAACCAAACTGAAAATGCTTTTACTCAAGTTGAGTGGTTTTTTTTCGAGGAGGCGTATGCACAGAAAAATGCAGAAAACATATGGAGAACAATGAAGTCATGTAGGTGACAGCTATAAGCTATTTAGACAAATACATAGATAACCCAACTGCAAGGAATCAGCCTTAGCATGCATTTAATTGGCATTCTGTGTTTCAGGTTGCTCCGGTTTCAATATTCTCAAAAAATTATATGTGTTACTCATTCTACCCCCAGATTGGCGACACAAGGTCTTTACAACTACTAAGGTAATAATTAGATAAAATGCCTGCAGTGTGGTTCAAGAGTTGAAGAAGAAAGGTTGAAATAAGCCACGCTAGAACCAAGAGCAAGTGCTAGGCTGGTATCAACTTACAGCGATGTCATATGACGAAATCTTCACCAGAACCTGAGTTGAGGGTTGCAAATTAAACAACAGCCATCTCTTGCTTTCACGTTATCAACTTCTATCCTACCAAGCTGGTCACTTTTTTTCCAATCAGACAAACTGCATTTTTAGAGGTCACTGAAATAGAGGAAGCATCTAAGTGTTGGGAGTACTCTCTTTATGCATACTGCATTTTCAAGGAAGTCTCAAAGGATGGACTCCAATACTGCATTTTCATTGTCTTTCGATGCGACAAATCTGAATGTACTAAAACCTGACCAGAGAACAGTACACAACGGATAGTAACAAAACTTATCACATATTCTGCTGTATCACAGATCAAGCATGATCAGAGGGTGCCACACGGAGATAAACAGGTAGCACATCATAGGCGGACAAACCAGGAGACAAATGTAAGAAACCACGAAGGATACAACTCTTAGTCCTCTTTCAATGGGGTCTGTCAGAAGGAGGCCCTGAGGAGCATAGATCTTCTCGTTCTGTTCCTGAATGAACTTGGCAATTTTCTTTAGAACCTGGTAACAGAACAGCACAGAAGCCACAGTTCCTTCATCAGGTTTCCCAACATTAGAGTCAGAGCCCCAGCAATATCACAGATATAGCAACATTAGGAGAACCCAGCATGCAACCAGAGACAGAACTTCCGTGATTCCTCTGAAGTACAAGCAACCATTACATTACTCAAATTGACTAATATAGACAAGTCTGTCTGATGTATATGTGAAATCACTCTGCAGTAAGATTCAGAGTCTATATGGAATTTGCATGACAACAGCGCAAGCCATAGAAAACCTACCAAGAAATAAGTCTTTGACTGAAGTCTGTAAGACATACAGCCTTCCAAGTAAAAAGGTAAACAAAAGAAGTGCACCTTTTCATAATGTGTTTCCATGCACAAGAAGATGGTATAGGCAGTCAGACAGGCGAGACACCCTTCAAGGTAAGATTGGCCCCCAAGTTTTTCAGCTTCTGCATAGAGGTTATTCAGTGTTCGGACAGTCTCTTCAAACTGCTGCCTATCAATCTGCAAGAGAAGTCAAGTTTAGCTGTCATGCCCTGCACATTTCAGAACTCACTGATATCTTCAGATATCTACCTTCACTTATTGCTTATTTGCACTTCGACACTTTGCAGCCACTGTGTTTAGAGCCAAAGTCTGAAGGGCACTTTGAGTTACAGACCGGTAGTTCTTCATTAAATATCTGCCAAGTGATTAGACCAAGTCTGAATTCCAACACAATGTGAACACAAACCAATTAAGAGTAACATAACTAAACCAACAATGCAATTCAACTGGGGGGGGGGGGGGGGGGAGGGGGGCGGGGGGAAGCTTAGTTCACACCCAAAGAGATCTGCTAGATTAAAAAGAGCAGTTAGGGAGTGGATTGACAGAGCTAACTCTTAATATCAGTAATGCCTTGCTGCTGCTGCAGTGCTGGTCAAACAATGTCTCAACAAAACAAAAAAAAACGAAAAAGAGAAGAAAAGTGCAGTCAGAAAAAGAAAAGGCTTTAGCAGGGAGTGTTTGTTTTGCTATCAGTTGAAGATATTACATCTGACAGCATTAAACAAAATGAAAGTACTTGAGACAGTACTTGTGAGGCTATTGAACAGGCTCAGCAGAACTGGCTGGACTCCACAAGAGAGGACAGCATTAATGCACGACAGTACAACAACGCCCGCTTTATTCTCACAGACATAATGAACACATTCTATTTTACTGCTACAAAAGACAGCTGCCTTTCTCAGGATTAAAGAAAGCACAAAACACCAGCAATTTCATAAACACTGAAGAGAAGTGTTTTGAACTATTTTTCACGTGGCTTTTCACCGCAAATTAAAAGCCTTTGCTTACCGCAATTGATCAAAAATGCCATCTGGGCAACAAACAATGCTTTTATGCCAAAAAATAAGCAATATCCAAAGCAGGATATGCCTTTAAACTTTGAAATCAAGCCTGTCTCACACTATGCATAGGGCCGTAACAGAAAGAGAGGATTAGAAAGCACTAGCCGCCTTAAACTTAAAGACAGCTGTGAGACCTTAGCATACCACCCTTGGGGTGCACTGGAGGGAGAACTGTTCCCCGGACAGGGACACGGGGGAAGAAACCCACCTCCCTCCCACACCCGAGAGGACGGCCCGAGGTAAAGGAGCGGAGGTTTGTGCAACAGACCTCCCACATACTCCAGGAAGACGCGGAACCGGCCTACGGCCACGCCACTCCGTCAGGTCACTCCCGTACGCCAGCCGGGCGCCAGCCGGTCCCCGCCCGCCCTTACACCCAGCGGCCCGGCGGGCGTACGCAGGGTCCAGCCCTTCCCACCGCCGAGCGGACTCGAAGACGCCGTTCCCGACGCGCACAGGGCGAGCTGCGAGCGCCAGCGGCCGCGGC